TATATGCCTAATCACCATCGTCATACACAGTATAATAGACTCTAAGATGTTTCAAATGAAAATTCATCGTAGCCATTAATTATTATCAATACGGTCCCGGCGTCATTCCTTGAATCGGCACGGTACGTATACTACTTTACCGCTTGAGTTCACGATGTACACATGACATGGATCATATCATGTAAAGATAATTTTTTGTCCCGAATTATAATTTGTATTTTTAATGTATTACTAGAGACAGGTCACTGCATTAAACAATTATGTGGCTATTCATTGTACTATTATTTACTATCAACTATTTGCCCCGGCTTCTAATTTTTTAATTGATTTAATATGCTGAATCATTATTAATGGTATATACCTATTACATATTTCTATAAATTAATCAACAAATGACTCATTAATCACACTATCGTAAATAGGCCTATTGAAGTATGAAGCATTAATAATTCTTTATTAAAGCATTATTCAAGCCCCTTCATTATTATTATTATTATCATTATTGGCCTATTTAATTTTTAGATATTCTTGTATATTTTTATATTTTATTGCATGTTTTTTGTAGGCTTTGAGTGTTGGAGTGACACGCCCCTTGGAGACAGAAGTTCTCTGATCTCTTTTGCTACTCCATGGCGCATTCAAAGTTGTATTGTGTCTTTTCATTTGTGTTGCCGAAATTAATAAAATAAAATAAAATTTTATTATTATTATTATTATTATTATTATTATTATTATTATTATTATTATTATTATTTTATATATATTATTTATTAACCATATTAACTATGAAAACATGAATTAGCCTGTGTGGATAACATTATCACAGAAAATAAACTTATAATTTATAAGATTATTTTTGAAACAAAATCAAATAAAGTACGGTAGATATAACATTTTTATTTAAAAGCAGGTTTTGCATAGACGTAATTTTATTCAATATGCTGATTAATATTATTATCTCAATAATCAAATTATTATTATTATTATTATTATTATTACTATTATTATTATTATTATTATTATTATTATATTATTGTTATTATTATTATTATATTATGTTCCTGTCTTTTGGAAGAAGCTTTCCAATATTAAATATTTGTGTGAGCAATAGTAAAGCAGGGGCGAATCCAGAGATGTCCAAAAGGGGGTCCGAAAGTGGGACGGATTGCGATAACTCTACCCTAAGGGGTCCGGAGGCATGTCCCCGCGAAATTTCTGTGTTCTAGACGCCCGAAAATAACCTCTGAGGCGTTTTGGGCTATCAATTTTTCTTTTTCTTTCTTTCTTTCTTTTCTTTTCCTTTTTGCCAGCCCACCCCACTCCTAAATCCGTCTCTCTTAAAGTACGGTACTGGGTGGGCCCACTGGTATTGGGGATTGAAAGTGGCACCAGAAAGTACACAGACGTTAGGCCTGCGTGGACAAATAATTTCCTAGTAATGGTAATGGTGGAGACTTACATAGCGCATACGTGGTCTCTATATGCGCTGTATAGAAAACAAAAATAGCAAAATCTAGTAGGTTGAGGTAATCATGCTAAAATAAATATTCTATTATTTATATATTCAGATCGCACCGAGAGCTCACGGGGGCTACGCGCGACTGACTGATTCTGTTCTTTATAGCCTAGTCTTTTATGCAATTGTATTCAGAATGTCCCAGCATTTGAATCTATCAAAATTTCTTTCATTTCTGGATTCCCCAGCGGCTAACAGGGCAGTGGCATACGGTAACAATGGGGCCGGGGGCCCTGTGGCTTTCTGAAACTTGGGGGCCTTTTGGGTCTCGGTCGCCAATTCCATCGTGGGATTTTAGTTGCTCATTTTTAAATGATTTGCATTGTTTAAATAATTTGGATGTTTGCAAACATTCTAAATGTTTGTAACGACGAATAAATGATAGAATATCAGTGGCGGATCCAGGAAATTGAAATAAAATGGCCACGGAGGGACTTTCACATTTGGAGAGTCTACCACCCCAGCAGAAGCATGGTCGGGACTGAGGTAAGATAATTTATGAATATGGCACCTCCAGATGGCTGGAAATGGCACTTCACAGACATAAAATAAAATATAATTTTCTTTTCATCTCCATTAAAAAAAACATTTTGACAAATTTAGTGTGGCCCCAGGCCGACAGCGCCCCCACCCATCTTTATTACGCCACTGGACATAATATGATATAGGCCTGTGTTCTACAGTCGATTTCAGAGACACATGCTGTTGGCCCGGTGGGGCGGAGATAAGAAAATATATGCTTATGGACGGAAATGGCGGCTCACAGACTTAAAATTGTGAATGTGTTTCTTTTTATCTCCATTTATAACAATTTTTGTTGACAAATTTGTTGTGGGTCACAGGCCGACAGGGCCTCCCTCCCTTTAATCGCCTCCCTCCCTTTAATCGCCACTGAATATAGTATGATATAGGCCTATGTCCTACAGTCGATTTCAGAGACACATTATGTACAACATCCTTCTTGGTCAGGTTATGAAGGAACCTATGGGGCCCCTAGGGCTCGGGGCCGTGCGGACTGCCGAATTCTTGTTTAGGGGCCGATACAGAGATGTCTGAAAGGGTGTGGTGGGGGGGGGGGGGGGAGAGGGGGGGGGGGTGGAGAAGGTGAGGCCGAAGTTTGGTCGATCGAGATATCTCTATCCTGGGGGTCCAGGGGCATGCCCCACAACATTTTTGTTTTTAGACGCCCAAAATAACCTCTGAAGCTTTTTAGGCGATACATTTTTTATTTTTTTATTTTTTTTCTTTATTTTTTTTTTTAACTTTCCAAAAGGGTGGTCCGGGCCAACCCCCCACCCCCCTAAATCCGCTCCTGTTTTGTACGTTGTTTGCCACCTGAATACATAAATGAAATAAAAATAAAATCATTAGTTCTCGTAATGCTGGAGCCTGCTCCTCAGTTTCTGTATAGTGAGTCGAACTTGTAACCCGGACTTTAAAGTATCACAGGACTTTCGTATGCACGGGACTTTTAGTAAGGACTTTTATAGTACCCGGATTACAGCTATACATTATCAGATATCAAAAATAATCATTCAATATTGTCAGCAGTACACGGACAGCAGCGTGACCACTGAGAAAATGAAAAAAAGATTGCGTCTAAAAAACAAAAGAAAGAAAATCCCAATATAGCTTTAAAATCCCAAGATCCACAAAATATTAGTATATATACATGTTTAGAGGGTAACACCTGCCAGTGTAGGCCTATCCGAGAAGGTCGGCTTATTCAGGGGCCCTCTTAAATATCCGTGATGCTTTTATCAGTAAATTGTCTTAGTCGTGAGAAAAAGTCCTGGAGTGTCATAAGATTGAACCCAGGATCCTGGGAAAGGAAATGAATTTGTACCGTACTGCATTGTTGTACTGTAAAACATTCCATTTCTGCTTATTCACTTTTATTTTATGATGATGTTAAATTATTCAGATTTATCTCATCTCCACAAGACGCTGGTCTTCTTCAGGAGGACCTGTGTAGGTGCGGACCTGGGCTATTGGAAACTCGGTCTCAATATTGACAAGTGCAAACTCTTATCTATTACTTTGAAAAAGAAACCTATTAAGTTTAATTATCATATTGATGACCAGGTCCTTGAATCTGTTTCTGCTCATAAAGATCTTGGTATTTTTATTGATTGCAAGAGTTGAATTTTTGTTGTCATATTAACCATATTGTTGCTAAATCTAATAAAATGCTGGGACTGATTTAGAGAAATTGTAGACTCTTAAGGGATGGGAAGGCTCTGATGGCCTATAATATATAAAACCATAATTAGGCCCAATAGAGGTCTGTACAGTAATTTTTAATTCTATTTCTCCAAATCAGGCTCAGCGGAGTGAACATATTCAGAGAAAATTTTGTAGACTTATTATAAATAATTGTCCTAACTATGTTATTAATATTAATTTACTTAGTGATCGTAGAATGCTCTCTGACATAGTTTTTCTTTTTAAGGTACCGGTAATGAATTCTGATTATGAATGTGAATTAGTTTCTTGATTTAATTTACATGTGTCCAGGCGTACCCGAAATAGAGGTCTTTTAAACCCACCTTTTAGTCGTGTTGATGTTACATGTAAAGGTTTATTTAAACGTTTATATGATTGTTATATTAAGTTTTGTATGTCTAATATTTATATTGATATTTTTTTTACAGTTTAAATGTTTTTAAATCTTAATAAGTTGTTAGTACTTTTTATTGTATTTTTATATCTATTTACATAAATATTTTATTTGTACTTTAACCTGCTAGTGGCGGTAGTTATCGCTGTTGGTTAGTACGAAATAAAATAAAAATATAATAAAACAGTGTCTGGATTGTCAAGACCAATCACGTTCATTTTTTTTTCAACTGATGAGAATTTTCTGAAGTTGGTTTGTATTACACGGAAAATACTCAAGTACCATATAAAACTCACATTTCCATAGAAAAAAAAGGTGTTGATTTTTAACTTTTATTTTTGGGGGGTAATCTGGTAAGGATAAAATATTTTTGATGAATTGATTGTCAGTAAGACACAATGCAAAGCATTTGCAATGTAGGAGACGGTGTGATTTCCTAGCAAAGTAGGACTATAGGTACAATATTCTTGCTCAATTTTTTCAGTCCTACGTATTTGTCCGAAGCAAACAACATATCCGCCAATGGGACAGATTTAACCTAAAAATTCACCCTGTTTTAGAAAATGATGAGAATGGTTCTAAAGAGCAACCTTATCAGAAGAATTGAAAATACAACTAATACTAAGCTTCCAAACCAGAAGAGCCCTCATTCACAACACCGCTTGGAATTTATCCCAAATTGGTTGGAGATCCCATCAGTAATTTGTTAAATTCTTTAAATGTCATCTCTTATAGTCCATTACATTCAAATTTAAATGATCAATTGTTTCTACAGTATTTCATTGTTATTTCATTTAATAATTTCGCATCGCATACCGGTATGCCGTTACCATGACCGTCGACCATGATTGACTGAGTTGCTGCCACCAACGTTCAACAAATTACTGTAATGCCCATGGGCGGGCGCCCGGCCGGTAATGCCAATGCTGTTACTACGCGCGCCACGGATCCGGATAGCACCAAAGATACTAAAGACACACTAGGCCTAGCCAAATACAAATTGCAGGTGCAGGCATATATTTATTTAAAATGTTATTAGGGGGCCTACCCGAAGTTTGTCGTGCTGTAATCTAATTTCGAATCGATAACTTGAATTATTATATATAGAAATGATAATAGTAGGCTAGGCCTAGGCTAACCTAAGCCTCCTTTCTACTACTAGTACTAGCCTTTCGCCCAATAATATGGCCTAACTAGGCCCTAGGCTAGGGCCTGGCCAGTTAGGCTACACTGGTGGTGGTGGTATATCATTATCATCAAATCAGTACAGACAGTGGTATTCGTCATAACTACTAACTTAGTTAACTAACATGGCCGCCCATATATAAATACTTAGGCCTAGGAGTCGGACGCCTAGCCTACGTAATAGACCTAGGCCTAGCCTAGGGCCTTTGTCTGCTTTAGGCCAACTTCGGCCGCCGACACCTTCGGCCGCGCCCTGTTTACATGTGCACTTGTTTACTATTCAATAATGTAAATAGAAAGACCTGAATTTTAAATCACCAATAAATTAAATATTTGATTGAGTAAATTAATTGATTGGCTTAAATAATATAAGGGCATGAGAATAGAGAGATATTCCTAAAGAATTTTTATTGACCAATGATTGACAAAATTACTCTAGATTTCTTTTTCCAACTCTTGTAAATAACACACTTTCATCACCCTCGCTAATGTGTTATTTTACATCCGATCTTGTATGAAAAGATAACATGGACAGACAACAGACATAAAAATAAAATTATTTAAAAAAAAGTTTTATTTTGTGGATAAAGGACGAAATTTGTGCACATGTATCATTCTAAATTTTATTTGACGAAATTCTATTTTGTGGATAAAGGAAACTGACGAAATATGAATAAAAATACAGTAAAAAATGAGTTTTGTTTTGAGTTTTGTTTTGTATATACATACAATAGGCCTACCTAAAATAAATACGTAAATATTACTGTGCGACATGACAGCAATTATTTAGTTTAGCAAAGGCTTAAAGTTAGGCATACGCCGCCACAGCATGTGGTGTGGAGAAATGCCCAACTGGCGCTCCATATAAATCTCGCGCGGCTGAAGGTGTCGGGGGCCGAAGAAGTCATATCCCCTTTGTCTAGGCCTGGGCCTATCTAAACTCTTATTTTTATATTATATTCTATAAATATTTTATATTGTTATTGTAGTAACATCTTGTATAAAACCATTAGAAACTACATGGATCACCTCATCGGTTCATGAGTGTTATCAACAGATGAAAAAAATTTTTATTTAATATTCAACTGTTTTTATGCTTAAGTTAAATATAAATTATTCTGCTATATGATTTAGGGCCTGTGAGTAATTTATCAACTGCCTTCTCAGAGTACTGTACAACGTCAACCATGTCGAGTCAAGTTCATTTTGCAGTCTTGGATTCTGCCATGTCTCAGCTGCATAAAACAATAGACATGATTCCTAATGGAATGAAAGATACTGTAGAAGTAGCTTTAGACCTTGCAGAATATGATGGTAAGTGGCCCATTTAGGTGGTACAGGGATTGGGGTGGTGCCCCACTAAAAAAAAACCAGTTTTCTGCCCCTCCCCATAAAAGTTCCTGTATGCTCAAGTAGTTAAAAAATCATCTTTAAATAGCATTCCAAACTTGCATAGATTTTTTGATATAGTGAAAAATGGGATTTTTCAAACAAACAATATATGTTCTGCATCATGTCTCCTTTTATATTTAATTTCACACTAAACAAATAAAGTTTACAGTAGAATCTAAGCACTGATGATAGTGCCTAGTGCTAGCACTAGTTACATATATGTACGCCTACATGCGCCTAATACAAGGATCATATTATATTAACTGTATCTAGTAGTAAGATACAATAATGTATATTAACTTTTCATGAAGGTGTACAGCTGTTTTTGAATATACCAAATGCAAATGATAATTACATTTCAAGAATGCGAGCAAGAATGGCACTCTATATTTCTCAAAAAACACAGTACATCTTAAGGCACCGATACCAAAATTGCATGTGCCAAGCATGAATAGATAATATACAAAAAAATAAAAAGTATTAAGACGTCCAAAATGTTCAGGTAGATTCATATTAAATACAGTATTTAAAATTTAAGTTAATGAAAATCTTTTAATTTGCTTCTAAAATTTTATGAGTTTTACAAATAGTTTAGGGTAGGTAATTTTAAATCTCTAATTTCCAGATGGTTTTTAATAAGTTGCGTAGTATTAATTAAATTAAATTAAGCAATTAGACCGAACTATTCACCAAAACTCGCTCAAATATATGTTGACTGTTTTTAAACTCCTCAAACATGTTTATTTGTACATTTTAACATAAATTATCATATCGAAAAGCCTTGATAAATGTTCCTAAATAAACTGACCTAAAGTAATTCTGACCCATTAGATTTGAAGTGGAGTGAAAGAAACAAATGGAAAGCTTGAACATTTTTACAAATTTGTACACAGTGGGCATAGTCTCGTCACATGACGTAAACAACGTTCTTCTGACTCTCTGGCCATCGTAGTCAAAAGAAACATCTTATTGTACAATTCAGCAATTTAAGTTTATCTAAACAGTTTTAATATTTCATACAGAATATTTTCATAGAGTACTTAGATGAATGTTTACCTGTTACCTGTAGTCAGTGCTGGATGTCGAGGGTCGTGCGGTAGACCAAGCCCAAGTGATTAGCCTAGGCCCCCTAGAAGGCCTTTAAAAAACTCCTCATATTTTTAGTCTGAATGGAAATGTAAATCAAATCAACATTAATCTCATGAACTATGATCATTCAAAGTGTATACGTTGTTATAAAAAGCATGTTCTATGCTAACTTCATTACATTTTAGGCGACTTAATATACATCACTTTTGACTCCGCTCAATGCATCAGCATAGCTCTTAGGGCAATGTTTATGTTTTATACCCACTATACAAAATCGGGATCATATCATCTTTGTGACCAATTCGGTCTATTCCATTTTAAATTTTATGATACTGTAGTGAATGCGTAAAAACCATTCTACTGCTACAACACTTATTGATGTTTCCCATTACATTTTAGATAATATTAATGAAGGTAGAGTGACTGCTGCTATATTTGTTGACTTAAAAAAGGCTTTTGACACGGTGAATCACCAACTACTCATTAACAATTGCACCAATTTGGTCTTGATTCTATGTCTTTAAATTGGTTTAAATCCTATTTATCTTGTAGATCACAAATAGTCCAAATCAACTCAACACGCTCAGATGCTATGGACATTGATATTGGAATACCCCAGGGTTCAATAC